GGGGGACAAAACCTATTGATATTTTAATGGGAATTGCTTTAAATTTAAAGATTGATTTGGGGAAAATAAACATCTTTCTGTTTTCACTATGGAATTTTGCTAGAAAAGATGTTATATCTTTTATTTTACTTAAGCCTTCCTTTATGTCCCTCAGTAGAATTTTAACATTTTCTTCATAAAACTTGCACATATTTCTTGTTAATTTTATTCCTAAATATTTCCTTGTATTGTTGCTATTATAAATGGGTCCTCTATAGCTTTGGGAAGATAAATGGAAACGTGTGAATGAAATAACCACTTTCATGGAAGTAGGAGAAAGGGAGTTAAAAACTGGTATGGCATTCTGAAGGTCTTATTTTAGTGGGAGTCAAAGGAAAATAAACAATAGTCAAATAAACAAAATAGTTAAAAATTGTGGTGCTGTGGAAAAAATAAAGCTAGATCTGTGGTACTCAATCAGAGGTGATCCTCCCCTCACCTACCCCAACCCCTGCCCTGGCCCATTATCATCCCCAAGGAAGACATCTGACAATGTCTGGAGACTTTTATTGTTTGTCACAAGTTTGCATGGAGATTATTACTGGCAAGTATTGGTTATAGGCCAGAGATGCTGCTAAATATCCTACAATGCACAGGACAGCCCCACAACAAAGAATTATCTTACCCCAAAGGTTAATAGGGTTGTGGTTGAGAAACCCTGAGGTAGATGATGGCACTGGGGTTACCTAAATTTAGGTCAGGGTGCCATGAAAACTCCTCTGAGAAGGTGATATTTAGGCCAAATTTTGACTGGTAAGAAACAGCCGGACATGCACAAGTGTAGGACCATCCCAGGCCAAGGGCCCTGGGAAACAACAAATAATGAAAAATCCCTTACATTTGAGTGTAGTATACATAAGCACATATAGAGTGAAGAAATGAATTAAGAGGTATTTCATATTTCACTTTGTATCTTCTTTCTTGCTTGAATTTTTGAGAACAGCCTTTTTTTTTTTTAACTAAATAAGGGAAGGGAAAAAAAAACACAGAAAGCAGGCTGGTTGGAAGAGAGCCTTTTGTAAAATTACAGGTAGAATTCAGAGAAGAGATTTTGAGCAACCCCCACGTGTTCAGGAGGCCCTGGTGTCAATCTGGTTAGTCTCTGCCCTACACTGTCTTCCATGTCCATTCACCAAAGAGTGACAGAGAACACTTGATTTAAAGCCAGATAATTTATGCCTAAAACTTCTTTTTATACTTTTAGTTGTGTTATATTTGGATGTGTTATTTAAGTTATCTTGACTTTAGGGAAAAAATAATAACCTACTTTACTATATTATTAAATGAGGTAATTTAAATACATGTTTCATAAACTAAAGAACAATACAGGTGCATGATATGGCAAATGGAGGGTAAAGGCTGAGCTCAACAAATTATCTTTTTACTCTGTCCCCTTGCCTCTAGGCAAAGAAAAATGAGGACTGGGCTACAGAGGAAAAAGGACTGGGAAGGGAAATACAGGGTAGGAGAAAGTGATTACAAACTAAAGTAGTAGCATGAGTTACATTATTCAGAGATAATCCTGCTGGAGTCGATAAAATCACAAGGTGGTTGTAGCCCAGCTACAGGCCCTTGAAAAGACAGCTTCTCCTTAAGCAGCCCAAACCCCCTGACCTGAGATGTGAAGAGATTATAGAGCCCTTGTGCAGTGTTTGGAGCCCAGCAGTCTGCATATTTTAAATATATATGTATATATATAATCTGTCCCTCGGAGGCCGGAAGCAAAAGGGATCCAATGACTGTGTGAGTCATCATTCCTCCACCTAGGCTAGAGCCCGATGGAATTCCTGCTTAATCAGTGGTTGTTGAATAGGTGAATGAAATACATTCCCCAATCACCTGATAGACCTGGCATCAAAATAATAAAGATGGCATGTCGATACACTTTTTGGCTCATTTCCCTAAGTTTCTTTTTGAATTTTTGCCTTTGAAGGGTTTGGAGGCTGTGGAAAGTAACTAATACAACTGTTTCTTTTCATGGCCTTGAGGCAGCTTCAGAAGATAAAACACCTAATGTGTCCCTGGAGGGAAAAAATATTGGTGAAAACGTTTATCGGTAGCCTTCTCAAGCACCAAGCATAGTCTCACTTTTTGCTCACACAATTTCCCAATTTAATTAACGTTTATGTGAATTCAGCAAATAATATGTAGCAAATGTGTATCAATGTAATTTTCTTTTTAGCACTCTAAAGAATCTTAAGTCATTGGATCAGTTTTACAGAGCAGCCCTACTCAGGGCATTAAGGAACTGACAGAGCCAGAACTGAAACTTGTTTTTTCACCATGGGAAAAGCAAATAAACAAAAAATATCTTAAATTGCTGTTTTTTAGAGCTCACACTTTTGATTATTTTCCTTGCTTATGTTATACAGACTCCAGGCACCTTCTTCCCAGAATGCGCCAACAATACAAAGTTCCAAACAAATTTGGGGTGGGGATGGGGACATTACTAGGGAGGCCATCATACAGAAGAATGGTATTCCTCCTTGGAGCATCTGGCCAGTTTTAATAACTGCTTCGACATGATTCGCTCGAGTAAAAAAGCTGAGCATTGGCCGGATCAAGCCGGACCTCCAGCAAGAGAATTTAAAGCTCGACTTTTCCTCCTAGCAATTTGAAAGAGGCTTTTAATTCTGGGCGCCTCTCCTCCTTTCCCTCCCTCTAAAGTTTGGTTTCCATCTCTGTTGCCTGAGAATCGCAGTAATTAGCCAAGTTCACTTAGACCAAGAGAAAGATACCTTTGTGTACAGAATGAGAGCCACCGCGTGGCCAAGGATAACCACGCGGAAGAAGGAAACATTTTTGTCGCAAGCCGCTGAAAGCGGCCAGGGGGGAGGAGTTAGCCGTCCCGAAGGCGTGTTTTGTTGAGTGGCTTCGAAAGCTGTCTAGGCAGCTGAAGCCGCTTTCGAAGTTAGCAAACAAAGCGTCTCCCCAGTAACCGCCGGGTTCCAGACGAGGCTCCTGCCACTCAGACAGCGGAGTCGCAGCGTCGGCCGGCCCCCGGCTCCTCCCCGC